AGACCGCTGGCTCCCACTGTGGTCGCCAGCTTGTTTGGTTCAAAAGTCGCTGCTGTGGAATTCATTATAACTTTGTTCGATTACAACAAATTCGAAAGAATAATCTTTTTATAAGACTTTTTCTACACAACAAAACAAAAATTACAACTCTTGAGAAACAAACACGAAAATCGTCTATCAATTCTCGTTTTCGTGGGACTTTGCCTGTGCCGGGAACGCTTTGGTTCGTGGACCGCCGATTCACAGATCGTGAAGAGGGGGCTTATGATTCTAACTTCGTTATCGAAGTAGAAATTGAAACGATATCTTATCGAAGTAAGATAGTCGTTCTTCTTAAAATCAAGTCGAAGCTTAATTTCAAGGCGTTGCAAGAAAAGAACTCAAATCTCTGCTCTCTCTGCTCTGGAATGCTCTAACAAATGCTCGATCCTCGTCAGAAGTGACCCTAGGGGGGTATTTATAGCCTCAAGGGTCAGTAACTGCAAAAACTTAACAATCGAAGAAGTCAGTACGGCGAGACAGTGTTTACTGTCTCGCTGGGCGAGACAGCGTTTGCTGTCTCGACCCGCGAGACAGTAAATTTGCTGTCTCGCTCAGCGAGACAGTAAATGCTGTCTCGGAAAATGGCAGTTTCTCGCTGTAACTGTTCTCTCACGTTTCAAACTCCGTTATTTTGGCAGTTATCCACGTGATTTTCGCCCATGATGTTTCCCACGTCCCTTGGCAGTTAATGGACACGTGTAGGGCAGTTACAAATGTAGTTTTGACTATTTCAACACTGTCTCGCTGGCGAGACAGCAAAGACTGTCTCGCTGGCGAGACAGTTCATACTTGTTTTGATTTTTCCAAAACAGTATGAAATCCTTTCTTGTGAATTTTTGAGTGATCTTCTCTATGCTTGGGATATCTATTAGCATTTTTTGACGCCTACAGATACCCCCTCCAAAGTATTCCAGACTCATTCTTTTATAGAGGAGCATGGGATACTTTGGATAAGATAGATTTTACTTACGATCCCTTCAATGCTTGGCTGAATAGATCGTATGAAAGGACTTGTAAATGGCTTCAATGTTTAACCTCTTCTGCTGTTAGTCTATCCAGTTCTTCGTAGAATAGCTAACGTTCTCCCGGCGTCGCGTTTATCGCTTGACCGTTGTCGAGATCTTGAATTGAAGTTGATACTTGCTCTTGTGAATTCAGCGTTTACCATTGAATTGGTATATCCATTGAGAATTCCTCAGGTTATCCTTAAGAATATTCAGATTAATATTCTCCAGAAACTTCCTGTTGAGGGTGGGAATACAGTTTAGACTCGTGTACCCATTGGAGTATTCCACTGTTCCATAGTGCAAAACAGAAAAGTTTACTGTCTCGCTCGGCGAGACAGAGTTTTCTGTCTCGCTGGGCGAGACAGTGTTTTCTGTCTCGCTCGGCGAGACAGAGTTGTCTGTCTCGCTCAGCGAGACAGAGTTTCCTGTCTCGCCCGGCTGCTATATAAGTCGGGACTTAGGGTTTTAGGGTTTTTTACGTCGGATTTTGGCGATTTTTTGGGCGATTCTTGGGCGATTTTCGACCAGTTTTCTTCTATTTCTTCTCCTCTTTGTTGCCGACTTGGGAGGTGCTCTTGTTTGGGAAGATTTCACTCAGATTTCAAAGGTTTGTTCTTCCCCTTTTCTCCAAAATTTTGACTCTCCTTCAACTGTGACTGTGCATGCATCATTTCGGTTGTATTTGTCCTATTTTTTGTCGATTTCATGTTCAAAATCTTAACCTTCCTCTTGGATTTCAATGTAGATCACATACTCATCATGTCGCCACGTAGAGCTCGAGGGAAGGGAATCCGACCGACTGTTCAGAGCCCTGAGGAGGCTGCCCCTGCTGCACCCTCACGTGGAGGTATATTTCTTTCACCTTTTCACGAATTTAAATATTGTATTTCGTCCATTCCATATGTATGTTCCTATTTTTGCTTGCAGATCCTCGTTTGTATCCTTTGAGGTACCTTCGAGAAGAGCCGGTATCCTCCTTTGAGGGGATCGACGCTTAAAAGTGTTTGTTTTGCTTTGACAAAACACACTTCATAATACACAGGGGCGATTTTACATCATCCCATATGTATTGAAAGGTTTTGGTATGCCGTTATAATGCCCGCATACCTCCTTTATACATATGGTGGATAGAAAATCGTCACACCTGTTATGAGATAACGACTATATCTTATAGAATGAGATATACCGTTTTTCTCTAAAATTTTAGGATGACACTTACACAATTTATGTGTATGCCTCTTTTATCAGTCCGATTTCCTTCTACCACATTTACTGCTGATGTGATTACTGGCCGGAGTAGCGTGACCCACTCTTATTACGAGGGGATCCCGTTAATTGAATCCTCTCCCCAGTTTAAATCTGATTATAGTGGAAGTGATAGAGAATTAATCCAGCGAGGTAGTTGTCGTGTTCTACGACGATTAATCACAGATGCGCCCTTGATCTCGGAGCAAGACTCGAATCAATGCATAAGGAAGCCAGATTTCTTATTTGGTGACTCGGTAAAAGATCCGAAGATTGCTTTCTGCCAGCCTGCGCAATGGTTGCACCAGAATGGGTCCTCATTCTTATATCTGCCTTTTATCCCCCGGGATCACTCACTATTAATGTTCAGGAATCTATCAGTTGGACGTGAGATGTTCTGGAAGTTGACTGAAAATCACGAGCGTATTCATTGTGGTTTTATTGGGAAGGAAGCCAACCCAGGCTCCAGTGAAAGAGCTCATGTGCGGGGGCTTCATCCGGGTATCTTGGGACAAGATAATATACCTCAGAATGAAAAGATAGTGCAAGCCAACACCGTGAAGAACCGGTTAGCGGCAGCGGGCAAAAGATTACCCAAAGAGACTTTTAGATGCTATGGATGGGTCCATTATTCTGGGGACAAATGGTGGTGGACCAGGATGACCCGATATGTGTTAAACCGCTTTGGGCGAGAGTTAGCAGAATTAGGGTTAGATGTCCCGATTCGTGCCACCATGCATGGCCTACAGAGTAGTGTAGGTCATTTCCTCTGCTTGTTCGAGATCTATAACCCGGACACTAATACATTCTTTACCAAGAACGGGGAACTCGGATTACCACTGCATGAAATGATGCAGGTGTCTGGTTTGCCTATGGGCGATGTTCCCTATCAAGAGTTCTTTCCAACTAGCAATCAGCTGAACAAGATGAAAGATAGCTCAACTGTGACTCATGATACTTTATGGGAATTGACTTGCCATTATCATATAGCCATGGCCGAGATGGAGCCCAAAGCCAGAAAGAAATCTCCTCAGGTCAGCTTAAAACAATTCGCTGACTACCTCTTCAAGAACCTGGATGTCCGTTCGGCAGATGTGTGCGGATTGTCTCCTTTGAGTACGGATGAAATTAACCGTCTGTTAGAGAAAACCAACGCGCAATCTTATACTTCGCGCTCAGAAGATGGATTTTTGCACGGCACTAAGTTCCGCTCTTATCTGTGGCAAGCTGGTGTTCCGATTAGCCCTACTGCTCTGCTGGCGGGTTTTCTAGCCTTATGGTTAAAGAGATGTGTAGTTCCTCATCAGTCCGCAGATGCGATGCCAATGGAAGTGTTGTATCCGGCCGTCCAGCTAGTTACAGGTCGCAAATTATCTTTGCTTCCCGCTATGGTGGCCGATATTCATAGTGGATTACGGCAATTAATCTCCGTGTTTACTCAGGAGAAAAAGAAACCCTCTGCCAGTCTGTCCGTTCCGAAGCTGGAGCTACCTTATACTTATCTGATGACCTGGTTAGTACTTCATCGACCAGATTTAATGGAAGCTCCTGAGACGGCAAATTCTAGCATCCCTCTGTTGCAGAATCTCGAGAATTGCAAATGGATCAGGCATCAAGAACCCGACATAACGAGGCAGTTTAAAATTCACAAGTGTTGGGAATTCTTCCCCTGCTTCCCTCAATTCTCCGGTACCTACAATACTACTTTAGTAGATGCTGAAGACCCAAGGCAGAATCGCACTATCTTGGATGTCGGGTGCTTCAGATGGTTGATGAATATTCGACCTGGATATCTGTTCTTCAGAGTAAGGGATGTTTGCCACATTGAACCCTATCTCCCATGTCGATTCGCCCGTCAATTCGGGTATGATCAGATATATGTCGGCAATCCAAACCGCCACCTTAGCTTTCGAGGTGGACTTATCGATGGTGCGAGGGCTTGGTTCTGGAGCATTGCTGGCTGCACAAATGTTGAATTTGATCTTCCTTTAGAGGCGCCGCCCCTAAGGATGACCTTTCTCTTCTGCAAATGGCTGATAGCCACCAATATTGCCACTCGACGTAGGAGGATATCAGACTCAGAGGAGGAAATAGCTCCACGACAAGCAACAGAACCGCCTCGTGAAGCTGTGATGTCGCCTCGAGGAAAAGAGGCTGCTGAATCATCAAGGAAAGGAAAGGAACCGGCTCTCCCAGTTGATAGTGAAGAGGAGTTTGATAGTGAAGCAACCGAAACTTCAGAAGGGGAAGACGAGAATGAATCAAGTTCTGAGGAAGTATCTGGCCTTCCCGATTCATTCTTTGATAGAGGACTTGTAAGGCCTTCTGTCGCTCCGACCCAACCACAAGCTGCTCCAAAGAAACGTAAGGAAAGAGTCGTCATGGAACATCCTAACCGGATGACGGTAGAAGTTCTTAGTTGCGACGAAGAGGATGAAGAGGATATGGTGCCTCTCATTCGTCGGCAAATATCTCGAACTTCTACTCAAGCTCAAACTCAAGTTTCTCCCCGAGCTGAGTTACGCACCAAACATCGTCATGAAGGTTCTGGTGCACGCCCTCTGAAGAAACAGAAGAAAGCTGTTTCTAAACCGCGCGTTCATCTTCCTGCTGTAGAAGAGGCGTCTGGTCGTAGTGCTTCTTCTGATGAGCAAGGTAACGATTTGTTTTTATAGCTTTTACACTTTTTGACGTTCAAACTTATTTCATGTTCAACTTCTGCAGGGAGTCGAGAGGAAGGAGAATTGCCAGCTGATGCTGCTTCTCCCGGAGGTATGGAAATTGAGGAAACAAGCTTCGTCCAACAAATGCATGATGCTCTGAAGGAAGGATCGGCTGATGTTCCACCCACTCCTGACGTTGATCCATCAGCTGCGGACACAGGTACTGATCTTTCTCCTCTCGGAAGAGAAATCCGAGAAATGAATGAGTCGGACCGTGTGCCTCCTCTAATGACCTGTGCGCTTTCTCTCCTTTTAGTCAAATTAAAAGAAGCAGGTACCAGTAGTGGAGCTCTCGAATCAGCCCCGACCAATGAAGGTAAAATCGATCTTTGTCTTGGGCAGATTCGTCTAAATTTACATGTTATTTATGGTTCCTCATGTTCTTTAGACATCCCGATGCACGAGCCTATTGAAGGAGAAGCTACCCATGCCACCAAAGTCGATGATTTTAATAATTTCGACTTTAATATCTCAGAGGACGACCATCAACAAATCCTTGATTCTCTGTTAGAGAAAGCCTCTGATGCAACTATCGGCTCAGATGTTGGAATTGGTTCAACGGAAGCCGGTCCTTCTGAGAGTAAGACTTTGGTTCTGTGAACTCCACATATATATATACGTATATATTTTGACTTGATTAATCATATAAGTGTCTGAATTATAGGACCAACTGCTGGAGCTGATACTACTATAATTACTGGAACGTCTGATCGGCCAGAGGGTAGCGAACTCGTGCCATGGGCAGGAACTGAGGTTGATTTGCAATCATCAGTTCTTGAGCCTCAACCTTCTACTCCTATGGACCCTATGATGATAGAAGTCACTGTCACTCCCCAGATTAGTCCGGTCGCAACAAAAGCGAGACCAACTGAAGGCGTTGGTACGTCGGCTGATGTTATGCCTATTGCTGGTACATTTTACCCATAATTTTGTTTCAAATTTTGGGTTAACATCTCATTATGCTCATTGTAACTCCTTCGTTTGTAGAATCAACTCTTAAAGAGCCTCTTAGCTTGGACCCGCCGTGTTTTGGTTTTGTATATATACAGTTATATATATACATATATGTTTTTGGTTTAATAATTTTCGAGTTTATATATGAAACAAATGAATAGAATTGGAAAATACTATTTTGTTTCATGTTTATACACCTATATATGATTTCACCTTTAACAAGCTTATATTTAATGAAATCATATTTAGTGTTTTGAATATATTGCATAGAATATGTAATTTTATGAAAATATTGTATTTCTAGGTTATAGACTTCATAACAACATATTATATCTTTTATCAAGTCTATACAATCATTTCATAAGGTTTCAAAATGTTGTTTAAGTCAAAATATCAAAATATCAATTTTCAGGTTTTCATGTTTTTGAACATATTTGTAAAATGATGATATTTTTTATTTGGGAAGTCCTTTTTCGAAACCAGTCATTGTAGCATGTTTATTATCATGTCTACAATCATTCCCCAAAGTTTTACATTTTTTGGAATTTATTTGATATTTTTAAACAGCATTTCAAAATCAGATAAACAGTTTTCATATCAGTTTTCGGTCGACCGCACCGGTCAACCGAACCTGAGGTCAAAAGTTCACTGGGCTGACAGAGAGCTGTCGGTCGACCGGTTCGGTCGACCGACGGACCGCACCGGTCGACCGAACCTGAGTTCATATGTTCTCTGGGCGACAGAGAGTCTGTCGGTCGATCGGTCCGGTCGACCGATGAAAATTTTCGGTCGACCGACGAATTTTCCGGTCGACCGACGATGTTGTTTTCAGCTTCCAACGGCTAGTTTTTTGACCGTTGCCTTGGGGCTGTTTTTTTGTCTTTTGCTCAGGTTTTTGGCTGAATTCTTGGGAGGCTATATATACCCCCATTGCATTCAATTCTACAAGCCATGAGAATGTTTTAAAGAGTTTTTTAAAAGAGGTTTAAGCTTGTTTTTAAGCTTGTTTAAGGGTTTGGTTTAAAGCAGTTTTAGCTTTCACAAGTGGAGGAGATTATCTTATTGTTTGGGCTTCAAATCTCCATCTCTCCATCTTGATCTTGAGAAGTTTTCTAAACTCAAACTCTAGCTTTACATTTATATACTTGTTTGATTATCATTGTTCTTAAGCTAGATTTTATATTTGAGTTTAAGTTTGATTTTGATTTCACTCATTGTTACACACACCCACTTGAGCTTATTGTATTTGCATACATAGTATATTAGGATTGTGAGAGATTGTAACATTGAGTTGTGCTTAATTGAGTTCTCATCTATTATAGAGAACAAATTTATATTTGTTACATTGTGAGTGGTGTAAGGTTTTCGGTGAGCTAGAAAACCGAGTGTGTTATGAAGTTTTCGGTGAACTAGAAAACCGAGTGTGAGGAGTGAACGTTGTTCGGTGAGCGTTGAAAACCGACACTGTGTGGTTGTAAACGTTATTCGGGTGAACGTAGAAAACCCGGTTGATAGTGGATTTCTCCCCGGGAGTGGGGAGCGGAGACGTAAGACGGAAGGTCCGAACTCCGTGATCATCTTTGTGTGTTTGTGAGTGTCTTGGCGTCTCACTTGTGCTTATTGATCATATCATTCTTGTCGCCATTATCTATTGTTCACATTGTCCACTATCTTGTTTATCTTGTTTATGTTTATATCACCCTTAGTTTATATATCTTTGCATATATATTTCATCATATAGGATATATCACTTTGTGTATATTGCATATTCTTGCCCATTATAGATTGTATACCTATCTTGCAAGAATATAGTTGTTAATTATTTTTAATTGACATTTAATCGGATTAGATTAGCATAAGACCCTAATCACCCCCCTCTAGGGTCTAACACTTCAGGCATCAACAGATTTGATAAGTCTTTATCGGCTACCGTTTGACTCGAGCTAACATGTGGATTGTCTAAGTCCGTTCCACATGTAACGTTGTGCTAAAAGAATGAACTCTCTTAGACTTAGTGCTATAATGCCAAATACATAGACTTTGTTAATTTCACGGGAATAAACTACCCGACAACGCGTGTTAGGTATTTGCTTATCTCTAATCAGGGATCGAGATAAAGTCCCACATGCATAAAAGGCATGCATTTTTGGTGCTACGATGTTGAATACGTAGACTTCACCATTATTGCGGGAATAGACCACCCGGTAGCATGTGTTAGATGCAGACTTATCTCTAATTAGGGATCAAGATAAAGTCCATCATGTGTGTAAGGTATAGATTCTGGTGTTATTAATAACAACCTGCTACGATATTGAATACGTAAGCTTTGTCGCTGCTTCTTCCTGTATTATATTTTCACTTGAAATACTGAAAGAAAGTTAAAAGTGTCAGAGGTGTAGTATTAACTTGGCATGAATTTTCACTTAGGGTAAAATTTAAAAATTTTCTACATTGTCACCAGGATAATTCTAGAAAATCTTTAATTCCCTGGGAATTTTATAATAAAAACTTGCTATTCTTGTTAAAAAAAAGTTAAACAAGTTCATTAGGGGGTTTAACTATTAGAGGTGTGATGTTAACCTAACAGTATTTTATGGGCTTATCGTTCTATTGAAGAGAGTCGATAAGTTGCTTCGGTCATCAGAGGTGTGATGTTAACTTGACATGTTTGTGGACCTATCGTTCTATTGAAGATAGTCGATAAGTTGATTGTCAGAGGAGTTTTGTTAACGTGACAATATTGTGGACTTATCGCTCTATTGAAGAGAGTCAATAAGTTGATTGTCAGAGGTATAATATTAACATGACGTCATCAGAGGTGTAATATTAACGTGATGAAAGGATTGGTTGTCAGAGGTGTGATATTTAATGTGATAGAATTTTTTATGATTGGAGCAACTTTATGGACTTATCATCCTATTGAAGGGGATTGATAAGTAAATTGTCAGAGGTGTGATGTTAACGTGACAAGAATTTTTTGCGATTAGAGCAACTTTGAGGACTTATCATCCTATTGAATAGGATTGATAAGAGAATTTTGGAGGAATTGACTATCAAAAGTGTATTGTTAACTTAATAGTTTTGTGAATTTATTATTCTGTTTGAGAAATAACAAATAACCAAGCCCCAGTCTTGACTAAGACTTAGTAGGAGAGGAATTTTGCAATTGACAGAGGTGTCTTGTTGAACATGATAACTTAGAAAATTTATTACTCATAATCTAGTAGACCACAAATAAACCAACCCCTAGTCTTGGATAAGTGTAGGGGGGAAATTGGTAGACAGGGCACATCACCTAGTGGGCTACTATCCATCAAATCGTTTAGTGACATTAGAGTATAACGACTATAATTAAAATACGTCACACAGCAGGCCGTTATCTAAGAGTTTGGCTATCAGAGGTAACTGTTAACGTGATAGATTCGTGTGGTCCATTGCTGTTATCTGAAGAGTTTGGCTATCAGAGGTAACTATTAACGTGAAACGCGCCTCTGTGGGCTGCATTTTGGCTGGTCAACATATTCCTGAGACTTGTATTTGGATTCTGGAACACTCTCATGAGAATTGCGTTCAGGCTGATTAATACGGCCTGTAGACCTGCGTTTTGGTTCTGTAAAGCACTCCTGAATGTTGCGCTATATTTGGGAAATGCGTCCTAGAGGACTGCATTTTGGTGTTAGAACGCGTCTCTGAGGATTACTTTTTGAGTTTGGAACGCATCTCTGGGGACTGCGTTTTGAATTTAGAATGCTCCCTTAGGGGTTGCATTTTAGTTGGATCATGTGAGGCTCATATTTGGGCTCATTAACGTAAGGCTTGCATTCTGGAGCAGAAACGCAGAGCTCTTGCAGAGGCTCACGAACGCATAGCTCGTGTTGATTAAAGGATCGGCTCTCTCGGAGTTGTGCCCATCGTCAGGATCTTCTCCTTCGTCAAGCAGCATTTTTCTTGATCTGTTTTAAGGCTTTTGCAGCGATGTCAGCGGTGTTGATCGGGCTTGCTACCGCAACGGGCCTTTTGTGACCCGATACCTGTTGTTTTGGTACGGGCGTGGAACCTTCAACTCGGTTGACGAGTTTGGTTACAGCAGAGCCTACTCCTTCAGAGGAGAGGTTGTCTGAGAGATCTAGCCAAAAGGAGAGGACTTCTTTTGGTGGTTCGGTAGTAGTTGGAGCTTTAGTCTCCATGGAGACTTTGCATATCTTGCGCATAGCCTTGGAGCTAAGGGATCCGGAGGAGAGTAACTCCTCATACTTGGCTTGATCAAACTCCACAACGAGAGTTTTAACTGTTGTTCCAGCGAGGTTGACTTCGGATTGTACCACCACTTCTTCGTCCATGAAGCTATTCCCTAGCGGAGTCGTCATGTTTTGTTTGTAGGGGAAATTGAAAGAAGAAAATAGAGAATTAAATTTGTATTATTCTCTCTAACAGACTTAGAAAAAGAATGAATTATAATTCTCTCAATGTAATCCCTCTCTAAAAAACTTAGAAAAAGAAATTACAATTCCTCTCAATCGGTTTTCTGATTTACGAAAGAGATAAAGATTGACGGAGATCCTTCCCTTTGTTTAAAACTGAGTTCCTCTTGGTGTCGATGAAATGCCTCCCTTGAATGTTCGATTCGAGTTTGCTTTTCGTTGATGATCCAAACATTTCACCTTATGGAACACGATTCCTTCCTCTTGATTGATGTTGAGGAGAACTTGCGTGGTAAGTTCGAATAGAACTCTTAATGAGTTTGATAACTCAGAGCGAGTTTAAAACTCTGTAAAAGAGTTTAATTGAACCAAAAATCGGTTTTAAGCCAAGTACCAAAGCTCTTTTTTGCTGAAGAATACTCTCGGTTGCAGAATGCCAAATTTCTTGTTTAGAATTTCGATCAGAAAAAGATCTTTAGAAATTCCAAAAAAAATCGATCAATTCCCCAGAAATTCCACTCCAAAAAACTGGGTCTCAATTAAGCTAAAATTTCAGCTACTTATAAGAGATTAAAGAGGTGTAACCGCCCCCTTTATCCGCTCCTAAGTGGGGCAAAAATACCTCAAAT